GCTCACTCCGCTTTTGTCCCCGTCCCCCCCCCGGAAGTCCAGACCTTCAGCAGAAATCGGCAGGGCCGTCTGTCCGCAAACAAAAATTAAAATAGAAGACGGCGCTTTGCCCATTGAACAGGAACGCGAGACGCACTTTGCTCTCGGTGACGAGTTGGGTCGCCTCCAGCGCGGGGTAGGTGAAGCGTGAAGAACACGCCGGGTGCCTCCGTGTGAATATTCAGGAGATCACAGCGAGACGGTCCGCAACATGTTCGGGATGATGCGCCGTCAAAGGCTGGGAACGCACGCTACAACGCCCCCTCTGCGCACAACACGACCCCCCCCCGGCCAATTCCTCTCTCACATGCTGCCCGACTCCCCTGCAACCATCACTTGAGAACTGGGCTACTAGCTGAAGGTATGAAGCCCTTGCTGGGTCCATCAGTGGACCCATATTTAGCATCTGGAGCAGAGGTCCATCAGTGGCTATTAGCCACAAGGTATAGAGAGGGGCTCTGGGGCAAGTGATGCTCTGTCTTCTTGGTGCTTGGGGGGGTCAACAGTGGGAGGGCTTCTAATGTCCTGGCCCCACTGGTGGACCTCCTGATGGCACTGGTATTTCTGGCCACTGCGTTATACAGAGTGTTGGGCTGGATGGGCCTTTGGCCTGATCCAACATGGCTTCTCTTATGTTATGCCTGGGGCAGTGATGCTCTGTATTCTTGGTGCTTGGGGGGGGGGTCAACAGTGGGAGGGCTTCTAGTGTCCTGGCCCCACTGCTGGACCTCCTGATGGCACCTGGTATTTCTGGCCACTGTGTGACCCAGAGTGTTGGACGGGATGGGCCTTTGGCCTGATCCAACATTAGCGTCTCTTATGTTCTTAACTGCCTGCCCGGACATGGGCCTTTTTTGTCGTGGCCCCCCGCCTTACGGAGCGGCCTGTCTGAGGGCACCCAGGGAGGTTCCCGCTCTCCTGGCTTTATGCAAAATATGCTAAACTGGTTCAGGTGGGGTAGCCATGTTGGTCCGGAGCAGCGGAACCAACCTGGAGTCCGGCGGCACCTTGAAGACCAACAAAAGTTTAATTCTGGGGATAAGCTTCCGTGTGCAAGCACACTTGATCAAACGTGCACGCACACGAAAGCTCGTACGCAGAATTAAAGTGTGTTGGCCTTAAAGACGCCGCTGGACTCAGACTTTGTTCTGAGAGAGAGCGAGAGAGCGCTGCTCCGTTTTTTCCCTCCCGAGGCCAAGAACAGACTGTCAATCAGCAGAGTCCAATGGGGTGGCAGCGTTAAACCCTTCCCCCCTAAATGCCCTGAACCCTGCCTTCTGTGCAGAAGGTCCCAGGTTCAACCCTGGTCACCTTTGATTAAAAAAAACCACACAAACAAACAGGAATTGTTTCAGGTGGGTAGGCTTGTGCGTCTGAGGCACCAGAACAAAGTTTGAGTGAAGAGGACCTCAAGAGCCTCTTGCTCAGGATGAAAGAGGGGAGCGCAAAAGTGGGCTTGAAGCTCAACATCAAAAAAACTAAGATCATGGCATCCGGCCCCATCACTCCTTGGCAAATAGAAGGGGAAGTCGTGGAAGTAGTGACAGACTTCACGTTCCTGGGATCCCAGATCACCACAGACTGTGACAGCAGCCATAAAATTAAAAGACGCCTGCTCCTTGGGAGGAAAGCGATGGCGAACCTAAACAGCATGATAAAAAGTAGAGACATCACCCTGCCAACAAAAGTCCGCATGGTCAAAGCAATGGTATTCCCAGTAGTCATGTATGGCTGCGAGAGTTGGACTATAAGGAAGGCCAAGCACTGAAGAATAGATTCTTTTGAACTATGGTGCTGGAGAAGACTCTTGAGAGTCCCTTGGACTGCAAGAAGAACAAATCAGTCAATCCTCAAAGAAATCAACCCTGACTGTTCCCTGGAAGGCCAGATAATGAAACTGAAGCTCAAATACTTTGGCCACCAAATGAGAAGGGAGCACTCACTGGAAAAGACCCTGATGCTGGGAAAGATTGAAGGTCAAAGAAGACGGGGACGGCAAAGGATGAGATGGTTAGGCTTCCCAGATGTGGCGCTGTGATCGCGCCCGGAAAATCCGCCTATCTTCCGTCTCTGTAGCGCGGCTAATGCTCCATGTGACTGCAGCAATGGTTGGTTTTAAAGGTGCCACAGGACTCAGCCTTTGTTATATTTCCTTGTAGCGTAGGACTTTTAAGAACATGTCACGTCACAGTTGGGTTTTATATGTAAGTAAACAAATAAATAAAACCGGGGGGAGGGGCCATGGCTCAGTGGAAGAGCCTCTGCTTGGCATGCAGCAGGTCCCAGGTTCGATCCCCGGCATCTCCAGTCGAAAGGACCAGGCAGTAAGTGATCTGAAAGACCTCCGCCTGAGACCCTGGAGAGCCGCTGCCAGTCTGAGTAGACAGTCCTGACCCTGATGGACCGAGGGTCTGCTTCAATAGAAGGCAGTCTCATGTGTCTATATGCAATGGCACCCAGGGCTCCCTGTACACTTTTGCAGCAGCGTAGCAGAAGATAATTCAGATGGACATAGAGAGAGCCAGTTTGGTGTAGCGGTTGGGAGCGCAGGCTCTAATCTGGGAGAACCGGGTTTGATTCCCCACTCCTCCACATGCAGCTGCTGGTGTGACCTTGGGTCAGTCACAAGTCCTCTCAGCGCTGTTCTCTCAGGAGCAGTCCTCGAGAGAGAGCGCTCTCAGCCCCACTTACCTCACAGGGGTGTCTGTTGTGGGGAGGGGAAGGAGATTTTAAGCCTCTCTCCTTTGGGCAGTGAAGGGCGGGGTATAAATCCAATCTCTTCTTCTTCTTTTCTCACCCCTGCCTGAGAAGCTGTATCTGCCCGAATTCGAAAGGCGGGTTAGTCTGTGGCCACCAACAGAAGGGGAGCAGACAGGATAAGAGGCACATGTAAGAAGGGGCAGCCCCGTAAGGAGAGCAGTGCTTTCTGTCGTGAAGCACAGCTTAAAACAAGATCCAGAAACCAGTAAAAGGGCCCAATCCACCTGGGTACGGATCCCTCTTAATGGCTGGTTTCATTGCATCATCTAATGTGTCGTGTTAAAACTTTTAAGAACATGTCACGTCACATTTGGGTTTTATATGCAAGTAAACAAATAAATATGGGGGGGGGGGCACCAAAGTTCTGCAATCCCACCCTTACATCTGTGCAAAAGCAGGCAGAGGGAAATGCATCATTTGAGTGAGCCCTGGTTGCAGGCTCAGTCCTGAGGGGCAGGTCCTGGCTCAGCAAAGCTTGTTGAAAGCTAGGAGAACCCAGAATTTTGTTTCCAAAAGCAGCCAGCCAAAGAAGGATAAGAAAGGATCCCCCCCCTCTTCACATCCAAAGGTAGACTGCCACGGGACATGGAGGTTCCACACTGGCCTAGGGATGCAGTGTCACGCCCCTGGCAAACTCACCCTTGCTGCAGGCTCACTCCATGCGTCCTCAGCCTTCCCAGGTTACGCTTGGCACTGAATAAGGGGGAGGAGACGAGAGTAAGTCGTTCACACGTGCAAAGCCACACGCAAGGCGACCCACTTCTGCGCACGCGCGGTGCACGCGCGACGTGGAATCTTCGGAAGCCCCTCTTCGCCGTCCTCAGGCGCTTCCAGGGCACCGTTGCCGCGGTAACCGGAGAGCCACGCCCAGCAGGAGAATCTGATTGGAGGGAAGACGGAAGACGTCGTTCCTCCCGCTCACGAAAAGGAGTCTGGGAAGGAGGGCGATGCTTGCGCCGCCGTGTTGAGTGAGGTAAAAAGAGGTATTCCGGGGCAAAAATTACCATAGAGCGGCACCATTTACGAACCGTGAGCGAGGGCGGCCCTTCCCGTTTCACCGGAAGTTTAGTCTCACGCTCTAGTTTTTTCATCTCTATGATCCGGTGCAGGTGGCCAACGGGAGCGGGAAGTGACCATGTTGAGTGTGGCAAAGGGAGCACCCCGCTTCGGCCGAGCCTATCCGCCATCTTGATGAGGGCACAGAGAGCCGCTCCAGGGTCGCCATGTTGGGAAGGGCCTCGCGCCTCTGTTGCCAGGGCAACCGAGTCGGCCCTGGGCTCAAATGCGAAGCGCGGCCTTTTGCAAACTGGGGGCAGGAAAGCGGGTCGTGGCGTTGCGCAGCTGCAGGCTTGCAGCTTGTCCTGCATGCATGCATGCATGCATGCATGCTGCTAGGAAGAGCTGGTTCGAATCCCCACTCTGCTGGGGGAACCTTGAGGGCCCAGTAACCCTCTCTGCCTAACCTACCTCACAGGGTTGTTGTGAGGAGAGGAGAAAAATGGAAGCCACTTTGGGTCCACATTTGAAATGAAAAGTGGGGCATCTATGAAGGAAGGAAATAAGCAGCTGGAAAACCCACTGCTCTCCTCTGTGCTCCCAAACGGGTATCCCCCCCCCAGCATATTACGTAGACTTGCCAACCTCCAGGTGGGGGCAGGAGTTCTCCTGGAATTACAATTGATCGCCATGGAGAGAGATGAAGAGAGGCAGCCGTGTTAGTCTGTCTGTAGCAGGAGGAAAGAGCAAGAGTCCAGGAGCCCCTTAAAGGCAAACACAATATGTGGCAGGGGAGGAGCTTTCGGGAGTCACAGCTCACTTTCTCCGGTATTGAGCGGTGACGTCCGAAAGCTCCCAACCTGCCACACATTTTTTTAGTTTTTAAGGTGCTCCGGGACTCTTGCTCTTTTCTACTGATCTCCAGAGTGCAGAGATCAGTTCCCTTGGAGGAAATGGCAGCTACAGTTAATGCTCCCTCTAAGCTGTGGAGTCCTGTGAGCAAAACTTCTACTCGGTGAGCTCCTGGCTTTAAAGTTGTGAGCGAGCGATTTGGCCGCTGCATAAATCAGTTTGCTCTGGAGCCCTCCTGCCTGAACTAAGACAAAAATGTGTGAGGCAAAGGCTAAGAAACAGCTAGCTCACACCAACTCAACTTAGAGGGAACACTGGCTACGGTGCGTGGACTCTCTTGCATTCTTTTGGAACGTCCACCCCTCCTCAAATTCCACCTTCCCCGAGCATCAAACCAAAACAGTTACGGTCCCTACTAGATTATAAAAAGAAGAAGAGAAAAGATTGGATTTATACCCTGCCCTTCACTACCCGAAGGAGTCTCGGAGCGACTTACAAACTCCTTTCCCCTCCCCTCCTCACAACAGACACCCTGTGAGGTAGGTTGGGGCTGAGAGAGCTCTGACAGAAACTGCTATTTTTCAAGAACAGCTGTGCCAGAACTATGGCTTGCCCAAGGTCATCCAGCCAGGTGCAAGTGGAGGAGTGGGGAATCAAACCCAATTCTCCCAGATTAGAGTCTGCGCTCCTACCCACTACACCAAACTGGCTCTATAAAAAAAATACTATAAAAAAAAGAGTCTAGTTCACCTCTTCATTTGCCCTGCAAGGCGGTCTCCGGCCAGGGGAAAGAACTGCATCATTTTTTTTCAGCGAAGCAAAATGCTTGCAATAAATGCACATCCCACCAGGAGAGACTGGTGCTTGCAGAAGGACTGAGGGAAGGTGAAATCCTTTGGGACCTGCACCACAACCTGTCTTGAGCTGCAACTGCTGGCTACGCCAACCTCTTATCCCGACTGACAGCCACGGCCTGAAAGTATCAAATGGAGCAGGGTGGTAGCTTGAGGGACAGCCGACATTGGGCAAGGAATCCTGTCCGATGCTCCCTCTGAGCTGTGGAGTCTTGTGAGCAAGAATTCTACTTGGTGAGCGACTGGCATTAAAGTTGTGAGCGGGCAATTTGGCTGTTGCATAAATCAGTCAGCTCTGGAGCCAGGCCCGTAGCTACAGTCGGGCATCTCGGGGGCTAGGCAAGGCCCCAAGACTTCCCCTCCAACCCAGGGCCCCCGAGCGGCGGCAGGTGTGGGAAAGGAGCCGGGTATCCCTGCAGAGCTGTCCGGCATGAAGGGCCGGCTACGGTTGGCTGCGCAGAGCCAGACAGCGCGTCTCTATTTCCCCTGGAAACTCAATTTAGGCTGCAGTCACATGGAGCATTTGCCGCACTGACAATATGGATGGTAGACGGATTTTCCGGGTGCGATCGCAGCGCAACGTCTGGGAAGAGTAGCGCTCCCGTGGCTAATCCGAGGCTTCCCGCCGAAGATGCAGAGTAAAAAACTAGTACCTCTGAGGTACTAGTTTCCAAAAACCGCGGGCCAAGGGCAGGCGTCTGATCGCGTTTCCGGTGGACTTACATGCATCCGACACCCGTCTCCGCAGGTTGCGCAACAGCGCATGCGCACAAAGAGCGTTTGCTAGTGCAATCGCGCGGCGCGGCTTCTGTGCCGCGCTGCAGGATACCCCTCTGGTCGGCATCTCCCCCCTAACCATGGGACCTCGACTGGGACGTGTGCTCGGGGCAATTAGTCACGCCTCCCCCCCACAATATCCGGCCCGTGTGACCGGGGCCTAAATTATATTTAATTCAATTAGCCAGTGCCCCCTAAGAAATTCAAATGCCCCCCCACACACACCGTCTTTAAAAATCCTGGCATCGGGCCTGTCTGGAGCCCTCCTTCCTGAGCGAAGACAAAAATGCGTGAGCTGGAGGCTAAAAAAATTGCGAGCTAGCTTGCACTAAATCAGCTTAGAGGGAACTCCGACTGTCCCTGGGGCAATTAAAATGGCTCAGCAGTGACCCCTGTAACCATGTACAACTCTTTCCGTTGTAGCGGCTGCTATTCCTCTTCTTTTTTGTGTTTTTGTGTGGGCGGGGGGGGGGGGGGTTATACTGACGTTTTTAGATCAATTTTTAGATATTTTAATTGTCAATTTGTTACATTGTTATATTGTGAATTTTGTGATGGAACCCGCCCTGAGCCCACTTGCGGGGAGGGCGGGATACAAATTGAACTAAATAAAATAAAATAAAGTGGTGGTGGGGAATAGAGTAATTGATGGAAGAGTTTTCCACGTTAGAAGATCTAGTCTCTCTAGGGCCCTCTGTCTTGGCAAATAATTCCCCCTGCCCAGGGCTATTTTTGGGCAGGAACGCACAGGAACGGAGTTCCGGCTGGCTCCCAAGTTGGCCACGCCCAGCAGGAACTCATTAGCATAATAGGCCACACCCAACAGCAGAAACTCATTAGGATTGGCTACATTAGGGGTGTGTGGCCTAACATGCAAAGGAGTTCCTGCTATAAAAAAGGCCCTGGGTTTTGACAACAAACAAGGTAAACAGAATAGGAAGCAAAAGGTGGGTGTGGCTGGATGACCACACTTCTGCGAACATGGGGGGGTGTAGCTTAATATGCTAATGAGCTGTGCTGTCAGGGGTGTGTCCTAATAAGCAAATGAATTTCTGCTGTTGGGTGTGGCCTATTATGCTAATGAGTTCCTGCTGGGCTTTTTCTACAAAAAAAGCCCTGCTTACAATATTAATCCGTTTAACAAACTCTCTGGTAGTATCTCATTATTGACACTCATCAAATCCATCAGTATAATGGATTTAACTGACCTTGGTTCAGTCACAAGTTCTCTCAGAGCTGTTCTCTCAAAGGCAGTCCTCAAGAGAGCTCTCTCAGCCCCGCCTGCCTCACGGGGTGTCTGTTTGGGGTGTATGGCCTAACATGCAAAGGAGTTCCTGCTCCAAAAAAAGGCCCTGGGTTTTGACAACAGACAAGGTAAACAGAATAAGAAGCAAAAGGTGGGTGTGGCTGGATGACCACACTTCTGGTAACATGGGGGTGCGGCCTAATGTGCTAATGAGTGGTGTTGTCAGAGGTGTGGCCTAATAGGCTAATGAGTTTCTGCTGTTGGGTGTGGCCTATTATGCTAATAAGTTCCTGCTGGGCTTTTTCTACAAAAAGAGCCCTGCGGCCCTGGAGAGAATGCCTGCTTTGGAAGGTGGACTCTAAGGCATTATACCTAATTGAAATCCCTCCCTTCCCCCCAAAACCCGCCCTCCTCAGACTCCACCCTCAAAAATCTCCAGGTATTTCCCAACCTGGAGCTGACAACCCTACCCCTCCCTAAACCCCACCCACCTCAGGTCCACCCCCCAAATCTCCAGGTGTTTCCCAACCTGAAACTGGCAATGCTATGCAACACAGACCAAAAGCAAATTCGTCATGGCCGCAGTTTGGTTTCCCTACTGCCCATTGCCGAAGGCCGCTTTTTTGGCCCCGGCCATATACTGTCTGGAGCCAGGAAGAACACCATCGACTTCGATGCTTCATAATAGTGGAGGGGAAGAAGGGAAACCGGCCTCGTTGTCATCGGCATTAAAAGCCTCCCGGTGTTGATTAAACTTTCCCTCCCGCTGTAGATTTCCAGCTCTCCCCACCTGTCTGGAACCCGTCGGCCCCGCTGGGCGCTTTGATAAATGGCTTTTTAAGAGTCGCTCTCATCTCTTGCTAAAACGCTGCCTGGCGCGCTCGCCTGCGGAGACCATCATAAGAGACAGGACAAAAGGCGGGGGAACAGAGGCAGACGGTTTCGGGGGGGAGGGCTTTCCTTCCCTCTGTCTCTGTGGAAACATCTGGTGGGGAGGAGGGAATACTGCCAAGGGACGGTATCTCTCTCGGAGCCCCCAAGGAAGCAGAGGGTTCCCAGAGAGCCAGTTTGGGAGAGCCGGGTTTGATTCCCCGCT